GCATCATTAGATTGGCTTTCTCAAAATAGAAACAGTATAGGTATATGGACGCCTGGGTGGCTCTGTCAGTTAAGCCTCCAACTCTTGATTTCAGTCAAGTCATGATCTTGCAGTTTGAGAGTTTGAGCCCCATGTCTGGCTCTGCACTGACCGCATGGAGTCTGCTTGGGAGTCTCTCTTCCTGTCTCTCTGCCCCTCTCCTGCTCACTAGTGTGCTCTCTCATAAGAAAGAAATAAACTTAAAAAAAGTATATACATAAATGATCATGGAAAAAATGTAATCAATGGTTTCATTAACTATTATTCCTGAAATCATTCATGACTCAAATATCTTTTAAGATCCAGTTCATTAATGAACTGTTCAGAAGTATTTAGAGAGTATTTTTCAAAATATTCAAATCAAGACCCATAGTTAAGATAAAAAGAAATGAAAAAAAAAGGCCTAATGCACATACATTTCTATTAAAAAACATGAAACATGATATGTAACTGTGAAAATGTTTTTATTATATTTAATGTTTTACATTTTTTCCATGACACAGAAAAGTTTTGAAACCCTGAAATTCTAAATTATGACCTACAGTTCAAAAATCTGTAGGTAAAGCTTTACTTTAATTCTACTATTTTGATTTTACTGGGATAACTATCTATGTTTATATCTATGTCTATAAAAATCTGAAAAGAATAAATATACTGAGTTACCATTGTTTTTCCAAATTACACTTATAGTTTCCAGTTAGCTCCAGAGTATCCCATGTTGTTGAAGAGATTTTTTGAGCATAGAAACACCAAATAAGTTTGAATTTCATAATTAATTTTTAAAATATAGCAGTGAAATAACACATTTTGTCACCTATAATTGATACACTTATAAACGCTAACAATTTTCTAATAGAAACTAAAAAACTAATTTCTAAGGAATCTACTTAGACACATGAACAATTTTTAAATAGACAACATTTTCTAATTTGAGCATCAACACTAATCTTTAATCTCTGCCAAAATTTTCCTCTCATTTTGTTAGAGTATGCAGCAATAATTTGGTAGTGTTACAAAAACTATAAATGAATATTAGTTGTAAGTACGTTCAACTAAAATAAAGATGTAATACTTTATGTTGTATGTTACATCACATATAATATAAATAAAAAGATATTTTGATCCTTGACTAGCATTCAAAGACAACAGAGACCGATTGAAAATCTCAACTCCATTTCTTTCAGATATTTATAGGAAATGGAAGTGAGATGAGAAAAAATATCTGTTAAAGGTTATCAATAAAATTATCTTCTTTGGAACAAAGATTTTTTTTGTAAATATAGCTTGAGAAGGTATAAAGATGAATATCAAAGACATGAAAGCAAAAAAACATTGAAAGAAACTATGTATTGGAAGCTATAATTAGATTCATTGATATTATTGGGGTTCCTTTGTTCATTTGCATTATACATTATGCAACAGGATATTCATTTGCTTGAGAAAGAAACAACCCTTTGTATCATGTTCATGAAGGCTTTTTTCACTTGCTGGTTCCGTAAAGTGTAAATGAAAGGATTTAAAAGTGGGGCAATGGAGGTATTGAGCACTGCAATTCCCTTGGAAAAAGATATTCTTTGTTTGACTGACGGCTTAAAGTACATGAAGATACAGCTGCCATAAGAAAGAGATATCACAATCATGTGAGAGGAACATGTTGAAAAAGCCTTTTTCTTCTGATTAGTTGAAGGGATTTTTAGAATTGTTAATGCAATAAAGCTGTATGATATTATCACCATTACCAATGTGACCACAAGTGTCACTGATGCAGAAATGAATCCCATGGTCTCTAAGAGCTGTGTGTCTGAGCAGGAGATCTGCAGCAGGGGAGTTGTATCACAGTAGAAATGATCAACAACGTTGGAGGCACAGAAGTCAAGGTTTATGCCTAAGAGGAGAGGTGGAAAGATGACAAAAAACCCAGCAAGCCAACAACAGAAGACAAGTTGCATGCAGATCTTACTGCTCATGATGGTTGTGTAGTACAGGGGCTTACAGATGGCAACATAGCGGTCATAGGACATGGCTGCCAGCAAGTAAAATTCAGATGCACCAAGAAGGAAGGCAAAAAACACTTGAGTAACACAACAATTAAAGGAAATGGTTTTGTTCCCAGTTGCCATAGCAACCAACAATTTGGGAATGCATGTGGTAGTATAGGAAATTTCTAGGAAGGAAAAATTCCGAAGGAAAAAATACATGGGGGTCTTGAGGGTGATATCCACCAGGGTGAGTGTGATGATAAGCAGATTGCCAGTGACACTTAGCAGGTAGGTGAGAAGCAGGAAGACAAATAGCACAACTTTCAATTGTGGGTCATCAGTCAAACCTGCCAGGATAAACACTGTCACTTGTGTGTGATTTCCCATTACTGTCCTCTACTTTTCCAGGTCTAAATAGAAAAGAAAGAAAGAAATTGATAGTCCTAAGGGGAAAATAGCAGTGGTAACTAGTGTCTAAAGTAAAATTAGGAAAGCAATCTTTCAGATAGAGTAACACCATTCATATTTTAGGAGGTTATGCCAGGAAGAACAATACTTTGCATTTCCAAAGTATCTGGATAGAGAATTTTATGTTTACTTTGCAATTCTGCCAGAGAATAATGATAGCGATGATTGATATGATAGCGGTTGTTGACTGTTTTTATATGAGGGAAGTTAGAAGGACTTTTAAAGCATGCACAAATGCTTCTTCTCTCTTGATTTTAGCAAGAATTGAAATGGATGCCATTTCTTATTCAATTAAGAGCTTTGCATTCAGAACCAAAATGATTATTGTCATTAAAATTATATCAGAAAATAGTTTTCATAAAATATACACCACACACACACCTCACCATCATCAATAGACAGGGTTATATAACTTTACCATTTTACTTAATCAAATTCAAATGCCTGATTCTTCTGTCATTTACTTTCATGGCTAATGAGATACAGTTTCCAATAAGTGAATATGAAACATCATGAATAGTTTTATTTTCTGTCCTTAGTAGTATCTCCATCCCATCAAACTCTGTTATCATTCCCACTCTTCCCACGTTGTACTCCCAAACAAAATCAGCAGGAATATTCTGGTAATATTTGTGTGTCTAATAAGAAACTGCAGTCTTCCTAAGTTATGATTCTGAAAAATGAAAAAAAAATGAGAGTAATGGATATAGAAGCATATAGAAATATATAAATATGAGTTCAGGAAATCATATGAAGTGGGAGAAAGATAAAGATAAATCTGTATGGAAACCTAGAGATATAGAAGGGATTTTTAGAAATAGGTTATTGAGCTTAAGGAAGAAATTAAATTAGTAAGAAAAATTGAAAGAAGATTAAGACATTTAAATTAGTAATAATCCTGAAATTAAAAATATGTAAGTTTGTAAGTATTAATAAATACAAATTATAAGAAAATATTTGTCATGAAATTTCTCTCTCTGCTTCTATGCTTTACACTTACCATTTTAATCTTTCTGTAAAATACAGACTGAAAAGATGAACAATTTGAGGTCAGCATGGCTTAAAAGAGATGAACAGTATTTGGTAAATTTCAAATACAATGAATCACAGAATAGTGTTGGCAAAATTTTAGGAGGCATGTATTCCTTATCATAAGGATATTCAAATGTTTGGCTAAAATGTAATTAAATGTTAACTATAGATAACAGTAGTCATCTCAACATATGGCATATATTAGAGACAATCAGATTGTTCTGGTTTGCACAGCTAGCAAATTGGACACCAAGATTAAGTTTGAAAGAGTGTTTTTCCCTACGTTGTGCTCTGAAAAATAACAACTTCTACCAATGATTATAGGACAGCTTATTGTGCTTTTTTCTTTTTTTAATAATGATTCTAAGGAAGATTTCTTTCCTTGGTGCCTTCATATCAAACATATAAAATAAATAAGGTTTAGTAATGGGCCATAGATAAGACAATGTTTTCTGTTTTGAGAATATCAATATAATTATTTCAATCTCTAAAACATAGAATATAATTTCAAAGATATATACATAAATAAAAATAAACATAGAGTACAAATAAAAATTGTTTCCAGTTATATCTAAAAGTGTAGGTAAAAAATAAGATCTGTTGTCAAATTCATGTTAATAATGTAGACATATATGGGTATAAAAGAAAGGACAGTTGTTTTTCCTGGACATTCCTCTTACATTCACATAATTGTGAAACGATTAATCATAAATTTTTCTTCATTTACACAAATTACTCCAAAGGCAACAACTGTAGGAATGTTATATCTAAAACACCTAAATCAGAGTTTTACTATGTCAGATTATTTCTTTGTCCAACTACAACAGTTACACCCACCAACTATCCCCAACACATATTGTACAAAAATTAACAAAGCTCACACTACAAAACCATTAGAAGTCAAGCTTATGTTAAATATTATGAATATTAGTGAAATTTTAAAAAGGTAAAGTTTTTCAAAACTAAATTTTCATTGTATTCTGTCTTTTTTCATGATTTCCCCTTAATCAAAATTTGAAGGTTAGAAAAATAAGGTTAATACCATAATGGTAAAAATAAGACAAAATGGGTTAAAACAAATCTAATGGAAATATGGTCTTTAAATTTTCGACATACCAATTTTTTCATCCTTTTGAGTCCTAATCAGTCTGCCAAAAGCACTTTAAAAATCAAACACATTTTTGAAGATATTAAACAGATTTATTCCAGCAAATTATCTCTGCTTCAATATTTAACTCTTTTATCATCATGCTGAACAGACCACAGTGATAATTCCATTCTTCTCTGTAGGATTCTCCCTCTACCCCACAATCTGTGACTGATTTTCTTACTTATTTATGGCAACTTTGTAAATGGTTTTAAAAGGTTTTTTTTTTTCAGAGTTTTAGACTATTAAATTTCCCTGTCACTACAATTGACTTATTTATGTTTTGAGTGCTTTTCTTGGTATTATTCACAGTGCCATATGAAATTCATCGGCACTTGATCTCATTTAATATTTATACTGTCTGTATCTTCAAAGAAAATATCTAAAGATTATGAGGAGTCCCCAGAGGATATGAGATCCAAGAAGACCGTTCTCAAAGGGTCACAAATTTATACATTACGCACGAGTTCTCCCTAGGCACTAAATACTTAAAAAAAAATAAATTATATACTTTTTTTTCAAAACTGCTTTTAACTCTGTCTCCAAAGCTTTCAGTATAGATTTCCCTAATGTGTGTTTGCCCTTCCACACAGATGTGTTTTGAAACCCTAAATACATAGATAACAAACTAGAAGTCAAAAAAGAAAATTTCAGTTGATAATAACAAGTGACAATATTAGTTGGAGAAGTTATTAACCTGTCATAGAAAAGGTTGCACCTGAAATATCTAACATTTTATTCCATATAATCATTTCGTTTTTATTCTGAATTCAGTCTTTCCTCCAAATCGTCTTTACAATCTGATCTTATAGATCTTAAGACTGATTATTTCATAACACCCAAGCATTCTCCACTTTCTCTGTATTAATGGAATATTTGTCTCTGTCTACAACTAGCCTTCCTTGCAACTGGTTGTGACCATGTGACTAAATTATGAGCAAAGGACATAAGTGGAGATGTGCAATTTCCTTTGACTGTTCTTTGATAAGAGGGGTTTGCCCTTCTCTTCCTCTCTGCTAGTCCCTCACACTGTTGTGATGCAGGTTGGATGGCAAACCATTTGGAACCATGAGTATGAGCAAGCACATGAGGAATACACTGGCCATTCAATACGGGACAGCAGACCCACGTTCCTAACACCATTGCAGGTCCTACCAGCTAAGAAACACAGTGACTTCATAGAAGAGTTCCATGATGTGATATTTGTCTTTCTTACACTCTACCAAATCTATGGTATTAATCAAAACCCGAGAAGGGTCTGAACTTTTACCTAGAGTCTAACAGGTTGGCCCACCATCATTTCATAGATACTGATGGAGAGGCAAGCCTACCAGGTCAGCAACAGAAAACTTTATTATGTATTATATAGCAGGAAGCAGGAGCTTCATGTTCTCATCTGTTCTCCTGACCCCTAAATTCTCTTCAAGGAAGGGCCCTAACCCTAATAGATATTGTTATTTACACAATGCACCTACATTTAAAGCTGAGTAACACCAGGTTAGGAAATTCTCAGTCTTGTGAAGAGAAAATCTGCTTAATTTTGCCCTACTAGAAGAGAGTGTCTTTAATATACTGCTAAGGGGAAAAATAGGCCAAATCTATTACAAAACATTCTTGAAAACAGAGTCCAGAACAAAAGCTATCACAACATGTGGAAATGTTTCAGAATTTCCTTCCACCAAATCCACCCCTCATTTCTATACCAACTTGGCTTCAGCTGCAAATTCCCCTAAGCATGTTCCTATGTTAACCTCTCTGATTAACCTTCAGGTCTCTCTTATTACTCCCAAGGTACCACAGTGTTTTCCAACAAGATGCCAACCAATGTCCAGCCCTCACACAGGAAGTATAAACCCAAGAGTGCATGAGGTCTCCTAGAAAGAGTTTACAATTTTAGAGGTTGGCAGCCACATTAAGCGTGCATCATTCAGATTACAGGTTAGCAAGCCTCCCATGTAACTTCCAGCTGGCTGATAAGCCTTAGAGCTCCCAATTCAGTAACTTATTTTTGGAGGGACTGCTTAAGTGTATTTAATCCAATTTGTTCTATTTGTTCAAGCCATTAGCCATGTGACATTTGTCTGCTTCATTATGACTCAAAATACGACTGAGGAAGACATTTGGAAGTGTTTTTCCCAACTAAAATAAAAAACACAAGAAAAAACGTACTAGTGAGGATGTGGAGAAAAACAGAACCCCCATGCACTGTTGGTAGGAATGCAAACTGATGCAGCCACTGTGGGAAACAGTTTGGAGCTTCCTCAAACATTAAAAATAGAACTACTCTATGATCCAGGAATTCCACCAAGGAATATGAAAACACTAATTCAAAAGGATGTATGTACCCCTATATTCATTGTAGTACTTTAGCCAAATTATGGAAGCAGCCCAAGTGTCCACTGATAGATAATAGATAAAGAAGAGGTGGTAAATATAAAAGAATATTATTCAGCCACAAAAAGAATGAAATCCTGTCGTCTGCAACAACATGGATGGATCCAGAAGATATTGTTCTAAATAAAATAAGTCAGAGAAAAATACCATATGATTTCACTCATATGTGAAAGTTAAGAAACAAAACAAAGAAAGAAAGAAAAAGAGACACACCAAGAAACAGGCTCTTTAGAGAACAAATAGAGGGTCACCAGAGGGGAGATGGATAGGGAATGGGTGAAATAGGTGAAGGGATCAAGAGTACATTTATGATGAGCACTAAATAATATATACAATTGTTGAATCA